TCACAACTAGGAGACTCCTTAGATCATTTTTAGTACAGGCTCCTCGCTTCTTAGATGAGGAATTGATGCCCCAAAGAGAAAGGCACTTGTCCAAAGTGTCTTTTTTCCCCACCCTGGATTTAGAAGAAAACTTAGTCTGATTCACTCCTGCCTGGGAGGCCGAGAATAGCTCTGCTTTGCCCAGGGCTTGGAGTCCTCTATCTTTTGGACAGGGCTGGTAAAGGACATGCAATTCTTTTTCTTTTGGGTAAGTTGAGGTACCAAAGGGCCACTAGGTTAGTTCCATACCCATGCTGGAGGCCAAGAGGAGACTGTGTGGTGTATGGCTTTAGGAAGGGCGGAGGGAGGGAGGGAGGGAAGGAGAAGGATAGCTGGTCAGGGACAAGGAGGTGCCTGAAGGGAAGATGTAGGCGACTGGCCTCCTCAGGCCCTGGGGCAGGCACTATCCCTCACTGAGTGTGAGCTGGGGCCATGGTTCCTGAGGGGCTGCCTGCCTTGCCACCAGCTGCCCCCCTACCTCCCAATCCTAGCATCTCAGAACCAGAGGGACCTTTGGGGCTGCCCTGCCCAGCCAATACCAGTACAAGAAAACTTTGTAGAAGTAACTGACAGATGGTCATCCAGTTTTTACTTGAAGAAGGGAATCCTATGAACCTCCCGAGGCAGCTCATTCCACTTTTTGGACAGCCCTAATTGTTTTTCCTGACATCAAGCCTAAATCGGCCCGTTTGCAGCTCTCCCCATCGCTCCTGATTCTGGGGCCAGACAGAATGACTGACTACTCCTTTTTCCTTCTGACAGCTCTTCAGATGCCTGAGAATAGCTTTCTTGTTCCCCCTAAGCCTTTCCTTCTCCGGGCTGAGCACCCCCAGTTTTTTTTTTTTTGACTGATCCTCCTGTGGAGTGAGCTTAAGATCCTTTTCTGGGTTGTTAATATCTTTCTTAAGATGTGGTGGCCAGAGCTGAACACAGTGTTCTGGATGTGCTCTGATCAGTGCCGAGTTTGGTGAGATGACCATCTCCTTAATCTGGACACTCTGCTTCCCTCCCACCCAATCCTCCACCTCTGGGTTGTGAGTGGGCCACTCCCTTCCTTCCCCCATTTCTACCTTCTCTGCTCTCCGTCTGCCCCCATCCTGCAAGCTTGGCTCAAGGAGTCCTTCTGATGACTTTGGCCAGGACTTGGGGTGGTCAAAGATTGCTGAGGTCAGGAAGGTGGTTATTGTAGGAGGCTGGGGGGATGCCAGGACCCCATGCCCAGTTTTTGACTGATGCCAGAAACCCCCCCCCTCCTAAGGTATTAAGAGTCATTCTCCCCCTACCCTTGATTCTCAAAGTCCAGAACCTTCTGGTTTTCCTGTCCTTTCTGTGGAGGGGCTGGGTACCCTAATGGAGTAGATGGTATTTCCCCTTTTCTTCTCGGCCCCCCCCCCAACCACATACTCCAGTCTAGTTCCCATCCATTGAATGAGAGGCAGATCACTTGAGTTGGAATAAGGAAGTTCTGGGTTCCAATCGTACCTCATATTTATTACCTTTATGACCCTGGGCAAATCACTTCTCCCTAGACCTCAGTTTCCTCCTCTGTGAAATGAGGGGTTTAGACTTAATGGCTGTGATCTGATAACTACTGCAGGGTAAGCTTTCTGTGTACAGAGGATGCTTGAAGTCAGGGGGCCCAGAGTGACCCTGCTTTGCCCAGGAATGCAACTGCTGCTGGCCCCATACTTTCCTGTCTTGAGCCCCAGCCAGACACTGTCCTGTGAGCGCAGACTAAGGCAGAGCCTGCCTGTCAGAACTGAGTTTGGGGGAGCCTGGAGGCAGCCATTCCCTGGAACAAGAACTTCCCTATCCTCTGTGAGACATGCGGTCTTAGACCTCTTTCTTCTGGATAAGAGATGGCACTAGGCCCTGAGGGCTGGGTGAGGATACTGCCTGCCCATTATGACCTGAGGGTGTCTGGGCCCCCAGTGGGGCTGTGGGCCCAAGCCCTAACAAATAGAGGAGGGGCTAGGGTGTGGGTGGTCCCCTCCCAGAGCTCTTGGAGCTGTGACCCTCCCCCCGTTCCTCCCTTCCCTGACCCTAGGGTTTGAGGCGGAGCTGCTTTTGGGCTCAGGCCTGGTTGATGAGGTAATGTCTGGGGTGGTGGGGGGAGGGGGTAAGATGCGCTGGGCTGGGAGATGCCTGTGGTTGGGGGATGGAGGCTGTGGGCCTGCGAGGCCTCAGTCAGTGCCTGCCACCCACAGAAATCACTGCCTCACCCTTGGGTCTCAGGGCCAGAGAGGCAGGGCAGTAGTTGAAGTTGTTCTGCTTGGCCTGGAGCTGCTGGGGACCAAGGCATTGGGAGAAGGCCCAAACCCCAAGTCTTCGTATATCTGTGGGGGAGGCTGTGGCTGCCTGGGCAGCAGAGTCATGGAGCTGGAAGGGGCCTCCAAGGCAGCTGGTCCAGTCCTTACTATAATGAGACTCTCCTCTGTAACATCTTTGATGAGTGGTCTTCCAGCTTTTGCCCGAAGACCTGGAGTAAAGCCTGAAGCCTTTTGCCCCCTGAAGCAGCTCAGGCCCGTTCTGGTTAGTGCTAAGTGTTAGGAAGGTTTTCCTTATGTCAAACCCTCAACCTGCCTCTCCTTCCCTTCTACCCATTTTTCCTGAATGTTCTGATCTCTGAAGTCAAGCAGAACAACTATCATCCCTTTTTACACACAACTGCCCTTCAAATAATAATTAAAATAATTATCCTGGGACATGCCCTGATTCTACCACAAGCTGGCTGTGTGACCGTAGGTAAGAATTCAGCGTCTCAGATCTCTGGGTAAATCTCTAAGACTTACACTGCCAAAAAAGGAGATGGCCTGCCTTATTGGAGAGAGTTTCCTCATCTGGAGTTCCCTATATAAATAAAATCACAGTTTTAGGCCCTATCCTTATCCATAACAATAGTAGCTGACATCTAAGGCTTTCAAGCTTATAACTTACGTATTTGGTCTTAGCAGTAATCAGATTAAGGTAGGTGCTGTAATGTGCCTTTTTTACAGATGAGGAAACTGAGGCTGAGAGACATACAGTCATTTGCTCAAGGTTGCACAACAGTATCCGAGTCAGATTTGAATTTAGGTCTTCCAGATTCCAAGTCCAGGCTTCTATCCACCATACCACCAAAAGTAGCTTTGAAAAGTAGCTGTTATGAGGTGAAACATATACTGATTCCTCCTGGTCCTAGTATGAAATGATCTTTAGGCCCTTTCTCACCCTGTTTCCTTACCTCTGTGTCCTTGCTAGCTTATCCTTTCCTGGAATGTGATCCCTAGAACTGAACATATCATTCCAGACACTATCTCACTGGGCAGACTGCATCGAGGCCGTCACCTACTTGGTCTTAGACTCTGCCTCTCTTTACTACAGTGAAGATTGAATGAGCTTTTTGGGTGTCCTTTCACACTTTTAACTCTTTGAACTTGCAGTCTACTAAAACCCCTAGATCTTTTTCGAATGAATTGCTTTCTATGTGCCCCCCCCATTTTGTACTTGTGAAATTGATTTTTTGAACCAAGTTATACCTTTTATTCTTATTAAATCTTATCTTGAGAAACAATGTGGCATAGTGCATAGAAGGGGCTGTTACATTTATTCTTATTAAATCTTTTCTTGAGAGACTATGCGACATAGTGCATAGAAGGGACTGTTACATTTATTCTTATTAAATCTTACCTTGAGAGGCAATGTGGCATAGTGCATAGAAGGAGCCGGCCTTGGAGTTGGGAAGACCTGGGTTCAGGTCTAGCCTCTGAAATTATACTGGTGTGTGACTACAGGCGGACCATTTAATGTCTCAGTGTCCCAGGCAACAAGTTACAGAGCTGTTGCTGATCTGCTTTGATAGAAGGGCAGAAGGTTTCCATACTGGTAGCACCACACACACAGATGAAATCACACGTTTAGCAAGCCTTTTTCTCTCATTTTGGATCCTGACTCCATCATCCAACATGTTAGGTATCTGCCTTGCTTTTTATCTTCTGTGATCTCTTGTTAAATAGGATCCCTGGGGCACTCCATTGGAGACTTTCTAAGCTGACATTGAACTATTAATAACTACTCTTTCGGAGTCCGGCCATCCCACTGGTTGTGAATTCACCTAACTGTTCTTATCTAGACACACCTCCAGCAGAGATACCTGGGAGTGGGGCCTGAGTGCCTTGAAGGACTCCCGACAGGGGAGCCAGACCTTGTTGCTGGCTTATGGCCGTGGCAGACTTCTACTTAGTAGCTCTGCTTGTCCCTGGTGCCCTCTCCTTAACCCCCTATAATCTGACTTTCACAAACCCTGCTGAAATCATAGAACGCCAGAGCTAACGAGGGCCTTGGAGAACATTTAATTCAACATTGAACTGCCTCGTTGTAGGGATGTCACATAGGTAGCCAGTAGGAGAGCTGAGATTCAAAGGAGGCATTCCCACTCCACACCCAGGGTGTTTCTATGACACTGTTCTCTTTGAGGTCAGTAGTGACTTTTATTCATCAACTAACACCTTTTTAAAACATTCTCTTTCCTTGGCTTCCCTGATACTATTGATTCTCTTTCCACTTCTCCAACCTTTCCACTTAGATATCCTCATTTGCCTACTCAGTATCTCATCCTCCCTCCCCCCATTTTGGGAAAGATTAATTTGATAGTATTCTAACTGGCCTCCCTCCCTCCAGTCTCTCCCCCTGCACATGGCCACATGGATAGATCTGACTCGGACCTCAGCCTTCTCTCGTGCCATCAATGCCTCTTTTTTGCCTGTGGGATAAAGTCCAAATTCCCATCTAGATTTCGAGGAGTTCTGCAATTTGGTGGGAGAACTGCCCGTGCAGCCTCATCTCCCACACCCCTTCTTGCTCTGATTGGCCTGGTCTCAGTGTCCTGCATCCTTTGTCCATGCTGTTCCCTGGGCCTAGAATGTCCTCCCCTCAAACTTTCTTTTAAAATCCCATGCATCCTTCAAGACCTCTCTCAAGCCTTATCTCCTTCAGGAAGCTTCCCTCTCCCAAACATTCTTGTTGACATTATTTTTCTTCCCTCCGAGCTACTATAATGAGGAAGCAGGATTTGGAATTCTGTGTGGTTTGTGGCCCAAACTGGGCCAGGAGTATTTATCTCCTCCACAGCAGCTGTCCCGAGCCTGGGGGGGGGTGGGGGTGGGGGTGGGAGAGGATCCCACCACCTACTGGCGGTTGACCCCAGAGTGGGATTCTGGGGGGCCTTGGTGTTTTAGAAAGAATCCTGAATTCAGAGTCAAGAAGATTTTGATTATCCTACCAGTTGTGCTACTCTCTGTGTGACCTTAGGCAAATTCCTTTCTTTCTCTGGGCCTCACTTTCCACTATTATAAAACAAGGGAGTTGGATTCTGAGGTCCTCTTCTGTTCTAATATTAATAATAGTTAGCAGTTATGTAGTGCTTTAAGATTTATTATCTTGATCTCTTGATCCTCAGAAAACCCCTTGTGAAGCAGATACTATCATTGTCCCTTAGTTTATAGGTAAATAAACTGAAGCAGAAAAAGGTTAAGTGACTTGCCCAAAGTCACACAGCAAGTAAGTGTCAGAGAGAATTTGAACCCAGGTCGTCTGGCACATTATCCACTATGTCATGCTATGTCTGAAATACTTTCTGTGACTTTTATTTCTGCAGCTGACTCCAGGGGGCAAGGCAGCTATGGCTGGAGTGGGTGTGGGAGACTGGGTCCTGAGCATTGATGGGGAGAACACCAGCAACCTGACCCACATTGAAGCTCAGAACAAGATCCGGGCCTGTGGGGAGCAGCTCAGCCTCAGCCTCAGCAGGTGTGTGACAAGGAGTGACCTGAGCGTGGACTTTGGGGCCCCTTTCTGGGTCTAGCCAGGATGAGATGTTCCATTTTCCTACCCCTCCCAACCCCCCACCAGAACCTTGAGGGGAGCTTTGTTGGTACCCTAGGCCCCTTCGCTCCCATCTTTCCTTCCAGAAGTTTTGGGGCCACCCTCCTTCTGAGACATTCCATATTTGAGGAAGCTGGGCAGATGATAATGTGTCACAACTGGTCCTCCTAGGACTAGGAGAAATCAGTACATGTTTCACCTCATAATAGCTACTTTTCGAAGCTACTTTTGGTGGTATAGTGGATAGAAGCCTGGACTTGGAATCTTGAAGGGCCCCTCATCCAACCTCCTCATGTTACGGAGGAGGAAAGAAGCCCAGAGACAGGCAATGACTTGCCCAGGGTCACACAGCTAGTTAGGAGCAAAACTCGGACTAGAGCCCAAGTCTCTTGACTCCTGGTGTGGTGTCTCCTCCTGTGCTACTTGGCCTCTCAGGTCTCTGGCCCTCCTGTCTGCTCCAGTCCTCGGCACCGGTCCCAGTAACCATATTTTACTACCATAGATCCCAAAACAGTTCCTGTTCCCTCTTGCCTACTTTCTGCCTGGTTTCAAGGCCTCCATTTCAGAGCTAGGGCAGTGAGGGGTCCAGGAATGGATAAGTTGATTCTCTGTGGGGGGTCTGTATCCAGGGCCTCTAGAACACACACACACACACACAGACCCACACATACACACACCCACCTCCTCTAGCTGTGGGCAGCCAAGCCTGGGGGTGGTCTCTGTATATATAGTCACTGAAAAAAACCCTATCCTTCACCAAATTTAAGCCAGAGGGCTCCCCAGACTGATCCATGGAACCAGATTCATAGATTTGAGAGATGAGGGAAGGAAAAAGCACCAGACTTGGAGTCAGCAGGACCTGGCTTCTCTTCTTGACTCTGCTGTCTCCTGGCTGTGCGATAAATCTCTTGGGGCAAATCCACGTAACCTCTCTGTGCCTCAGTTGTTTTTTTCTTTTTCCTATAAATTGAGGACAATATCTAGACTACCTACTTCATAGGGGCTCAAGGGAGATAATGGATGTCAAGGATTCTTGAAGTGTCAACTGCTCTTAGGGTGTCTCTGGATGAAGGACCCAGGATGGCTCACCGTGGGGCAAGGGTGGCCGCAGTGCCTGGCAGGATCTCTGGAAGAGGCCTAGGGGACTGATTTTGAGGGGGAGGGGGAGGTACCCTGTCCTGACTCTGAACTCTGTGTTTGTGTATGTGTGTTTCAGGGCCCAGCCCCTTGTGAGCAAACCCCAGAAGGTAGGTAACTGCTTTTGTTGGGAGGGGGCTGACTAGGGCTTGGTCTCCTGTGGGGGCAAGCAGGACTGGAGGGAGAGGGGGAGGATGGAGGGAGCCTGTTTTCTCTGAGGATGGCCTTTGAAGTGACTCCTGCCTCACCCAGCGATGAGCCCAGAAGAGCAATGTTGAGGGAAGAGCCTGGGCTGCAATCTGGGCCTCAGCACTGCTACACTGTCCCCATCCTGGGCCGTAATCTGGGCCAGCTCTGTGTCTGTCTCGCAGCTAGGCTGGGGCTGAGTGTCTGAATTTGTCCCTGTACCTATGCCTGTCTCTGCACCAAGGTTAGGACTCTGCCTTGGAAATGGGGTGTGGAGACTGGGACTAATAGGGAGTAATGGTAGAGGGTTGTGTGAAGATCATGTGGGGTTCTGAATGCCTGGGGAAACAGAGGCCTTGGAAGGGCCTGTGCAGGATGAGATGGTCCTCCAGGGGCACCAAGGGTGCCCGCCTTCTCTGCTTACGTGGGAATGTGGGAGGAGGAGCTGGACCCCTTCCCCCGGAAGCCAAGCCTTGGTTGCCCCAGGGGGCGGTTCCCACCACTTCCTGGCCCCGCCTGTGTTGGGGTGGAGGGGATGAGCTCATCTCTTGGTGCAATGAGCCCCTCAGCAGCTACAGCTTGAAACCTGAGCTTCTGGCCTGCCCCCTGCCTCTGGCCAGATGTGGGGGAGTGGGACATGTGACCAACCCAGCTCCTTTCCTCCTGGGGCCCTTGTCTGTAGAGGCTGATTTATTGTGGGGAGGGGGGGTGGCCCCCACATTCTGGGCATCCTGCCCATTGGCCTTGTGGGGGGGAAAAGCAGAGAGATAAGGACCCTATAAGCCCAGGACTGGCCCCCAGGCTGGAAAGGGAACTCTGCTTTTCCTGAGCACAAGGAAAGGAGGAGGGGTTCAGGGAGAAGAGGAGGGAAGGGATGGCTTTTCTGGGCCTTTAGATCTCAAACCATGCTGGGAAGGTGGGTGTGCTGGGGTTGGGTTGGGCAGGGCCTATGCCTGGTGTGTGCCTGGAGCACTGCCTGCCCCCTGCATGCCCTACCCCTGAGCCCACCTGCTCATGCTATGCTCTGCTTTGTCTCTGCCCAGGACCCACCCCCCTCTGCTGAACCCCCACGCTATACTTTCACACCCAGCGCTGCCCTCAACAAGACCGCCCGCCCGTTTGGGGCTGCCTCGCCAGCTGAGAGCACAGGGGTGAAGCCAGGGACCTGCACGGTCCCCTCACCTCCCTTCATCCCCCAGCAGAATGGGTACGTCGCCAGGGCTGGGATGGGCACAGTGATCCGCGTGCTCTTCACTGTCTCTGGTGCCTGTGCTATGTGCCTGTCTGCTCTGCCCCTTCTTTACCAAACTGTTCCCAGAGTCCTTTAGTCTGGGTCAGTGTGGCAGTGACTCCTGGTGGTCAGGGCTGAAGTGGCAGGCTCATTTCCCTCAGAGACCCAGGGCTTCTCCTCCTCCCTCCTTTATGGAGGAGTAGTAGCGGCTGCATTGTGGGAAGGGCTGGGGAAGCATTGGGAGATCACCTTGACCTTGGGCATGGAGCCCTCAGCCTTAGGGACCTAAGCTGTGGTGTCAGAGGTTGCTCGGAGGGTGGGGCGGGGGTGGGGGAGGCTGCTCAGACAGGGGAAAGATGGACCCAAGGGCCAGTAGCGCCCTTCTCCCTATGCCTGGTACTTGGCTGTGGGAGCCCAGCTGGGGTCAGGAGGATAGGGTCCCCAGGACCTAGCTGTTACGCATACACAAACACACCTCTGTAACATACATAGCCCTCCCCAATCATTACATGCATACTGCACACAGCCTTAGCCATCATACATACATGCCATCACACACCTACACACCCACACACATTATGCTCATACCACCCCTTCTAGCCATTAGTTTTGCCTCCCCCACACACACGCCATCATACCCATACTCACATCCTCATTACGCACATGTCCTCCAGCTATTACATACATACATACATGCACCACTCCCCCCCGCATCATGCCCACACTGCATTGCATTCACACATATGAGACCACACAGACAACGTCACCCCCAGTCATTGCAACACAGACATCTTCCCAGACATCATGTCCCAAACACACACACACCCCTGCTCCCTCGGTGGACTTGGCCCATTTCTTGTGGCTAATCTGACCTCTTCCCCTATGTCTCTTCTCCTGTCTCCCCTCTTTATATGTCCCTCTTTTCTCCATCTTTTTCCCTGTCTGTCTGTCTTCGTTGCAGGTGGAGATCCCTAACAAGTCAGTGAGCTCCCCTCTGCCTGTCCCTCTCTTTTTCCCGGTCCGTGGGGGATGTATAACCTTTCCCCCTTCCCCTGCTCCCCCCCCCCCCCCACGCATACCCTTTCACTTAAGCCCCTGGAGGCAATTCTTACCTTCTTCACTGTTTGGGGGCCTCCTCCCCTGTTCTGTCCCCAGCCCCTGGGATTGTCTGTGTCCGGCCCCACACTTCCATTGTCTCTAGGCAGGGATATGGAGGGAACTTAGTGGGACCACGACCAGGGTGGGATGAGGCCTCCTGGAATCTGGGGGCCTGAGCCAGACCCCACCCTCCCCACAGACAGCCCCTTCGGCCAATCCCTGATGCCAGTAAAAAGCGTCTGATGGAGAACACGGAGGATTGGCAGCCACGTCCTGGGACTGGTCAGTCCCGATCCTTCCGGATCCTAGCCCACCTCACAGGCACAGAGTTCAGTAAGTACCCTGGGAAGGGATAGGTTGTTTGTAGGACCCAATGTGTGCTATCCCCAACTCTGGATGGGAGTGGACCCCTGAATTTTACCGCCTGGGAGGGAACAACTCAGGAAGGATAGAGTGTGTATCAATTATGGAAATATGGAACAGAAACCCATGTGAAAAAGACCTTAGAATCTTAGTGGCCTGCAAGCTTCATATGAATCATCTGTGATTACATCAGCCAGAAAGCTGATGTAAAAGGACCGTGCTGTATTAAAAGGAATATTGGATTTTAAAGTCAAAATGAACCCCATAGGTCATCTGGTTAAAGTCCCATCCCTTTCCAGAGATGAGAGCCAGGTCCACAGACTGCCATATGGAGGCGTCGTATCCAGAATGAGGAAGGTGACAGTTCTGCCGTGGTCATCTGGAGTATTGGTATCCAGTTCTGGGCACTTTCCTTAAGGATGGACTTTGACAAACTGAACTATGTCCAGAGGAGAGTGACCAGGGATCAGGAGGAAACTGGAGACATGTCATAGGAGAGGGCAATTGAAGGAACTATTTCTGTATTCCCCTGGCTATTTCTGTAGCCTGGGGCGGGTACAAAATAATAGCTGAAATTTATCTAGCTGGCACTTACAGGTTTGCAAATAGGGCAGCTCGATGGCGCCGCAGTGCACAGAGCGCCCAACCTGGAGTCAAAAAGACTCCTCTTCCTGAGTTCAAATCCAGCCTCCGATACTTTCTAGCTGTGTGACCCTGGGCAAGTCACTTAACCCTGTTTGCCTCAGTTTCCTCCTCTGTAAAATGAACTGGAGAAGGAAATGGCAAACCACTCTAGTATGTTTGCCAAGAAAACCCCAAATGGGGTCGCAAAGAGTCACACACAACTGAGCAACAGTGAAGGTTTGCAGAGTACTTTATGACGACATCATCTCATTTGATCCTCCCAACAACTCTGTGAATTGAACATTATATGTATTATTGCCATTTTTCAGATTAGTAAACTGAGGCACAGAGAGTTTATTTTAAATCGGTTGATCAACAAGCACTTATTAAGCACTTCCTTTGTGCCTTTGGTCACATAGCATAGGACTCAAATGGTTCTGAGTCCAGTGATCTTTTTGGCTCTGATGGGCTCTGCTCCACCACTCTTCACGTATTCAGTTACTTAAAGAGTTCTTATGTGGAAGAAAGGTCAGTTTTTCTGATTGGCCTCAAGGGCAGAACTAGCAACAGTGGGTAGAAAGTGTAGAGAAGGCAGATTTTTGTTCTACATACAAAGAAACACTTTCAGAGCTGTCCAAAACCTCAGAGGGCTTCCTCATGTAGCTCCCTGTCACAGGAGGGGCCTAAGCAGCTAGGATGTTGTAGAGAAGGGTTTCCTGCTTTGGTAGGATCTGGACCAGATGTTCTCCAACATTCCTTCCATCTTTGAAATTCTGGACCTCTTTGCTGTTCCTTCAAACCTGGGCTGTTTCTCAGCTCCCTTCTCAAGTCCTCTTCCAAGGAGCAGACCATTAAGGGCCTTTCCTAGTAAGACACTCATTACATCCAGCTTCAAGTTTCCCTGCTGGACACCAGCTTTCTTGCCTGCCTTGCCTCCCCCTTCCAGGGGCCCAGGCTCCTCCTGTTCTTATGCAGTGCTGTGGGAAAGATTGTGGGTGAGAGTGGGAGGACTTATGGGACTTTCCTGCTCTCTAATCTTCCCTCTCTCCCTTTCCTACCTTCTCAGTGCAAGACCCTGATGAAGAGCAGTTGAAGAAATCCAGGTAAGACTTGTTGGTTGCAGTTGGCCAAGCCCCCCTGCTCCACTGGTGTTGCCTTGGTCCAGCCCTACTGCTCCCTGATAGCTTCTAGAGAGCCCCACCGATGGGGGCTTTTTGCCAGGAGCATTGTGGACATAGGTGGCTCCCAGAGCAGCAGGTGTCTGGGCCTAGGGTGAGCTTCCTTACCTTGGATTAAGTACCCAAGGCCTTCCTCTTCCTCCTTCCTCCTCTTCCTCCTTCCTTTTTCCTTCTCTTCTTTGTCCCTCAGGGAAAAGTATGTCCTGGAGCTGCAGAGCCCCCGTTACACTCGCCTACGGGACTGGCACCATCAGCGTTCTGCCCACATGCTCAACGTGTTCTAGCCCAGACCCTCCCCCCAGCTCTCTAGTACAGGCCTTGGCTGGCTACCAATCTGCCTGCCTGTGTTTCCATCTCCCAGCCCTCCTGCTGACCTTTGCTGCTTGCTTTCCTGTTCCCTGAAGCTACCCTTCATCTCAGCCCTGGATACCTCATTTCCCCATTCTTCCATCTCCCCCAGGGCCCACTTTCCTTCCCTTAGATCCAAGGAGATTTATGGTAACCTTTTCCCTTCTCCCTTGACTGGCCCCCTCAAAGGGCTTACCAACTTACAGGTGGCCTAAGGCAGTCTTGAGAATGCCCATATTTCCCAGACCCCGGGCCTGTAGGCTGAGCCTTCCTTTCAGGAGGACAGTGCTCAAGGGCCCTTGTTTGATGTGAGGTCTCAAACTCAGTGATCTGTCACACATTCCCCTGTTTCCGTGTGTTCTAGTAGAGTCATTCTTTGACGGGGATTTCTGCCCGGCTGTACCAGATGTGATGGTCATAGCTGGGAGCTAAGAGGGGTACAGTTGGGACTGAGTTGTGGAAATAAATATTCTTCTTTCTCTCTGTCTCTGCTTCTGACTCTTTCTCTACCTCCCCTGGTTATCTAATACCACCCCTGGGGCATGGGTGTTGTGGGCAGGGCTACGCTGTTTATAGTTGCAGAAAGATAACAGACAACTGTCGTTAATGCTGAGTGGCCAAGGTTTAGCCCCCTCCCCTGCCATCTCACAGCCCTGTTGGGAAGGGAAATCCCTGAAGCCCTTCTCTCTTATAGACAGCTTTGCAGTCAGAACTGGGAAGGGACCCTAAGGATCACTTAGACCAATTTCCCAATTTTACAGATAGGGAACCTGAGGCTCTTAAATGTTAAATGACTGACCCAGGGACATAGCTCAGACCAGAACCTAGGTCCTCTGACTCATAGGCCAGTGCTTTTTTGTACCACCACATGCCTCCTAGTCATCCTTGGCACTTTCTGCAAACAGCCTGGGTCCTTTCTGGCAAAGGGATCTTGGGGAGAAATACCACTAGCCTGCCCCCCTCAGTCTGAGCTGCTCTGAGTAGGGGCCTTGTATAGTCTTGAACCCTGGGGGCCAAGGGAAGTAGTGCCCCCCTGAGCACACGTAGGCCCCCTAATTTGCCTTGTACTAGGAGCACCTGTGTTTTCACATTCTGTTGGGAGTGCCTCAGCTGCTCAAGTACAAGCAGAGATAGGGGCTCCTTCTTAGCCCTTGCAGGAATGAGGAACACACTGATTGATGCCTGTCCACCAAAAGCCTGGTCTGAGCTTTTTCTCCTGGTGGGGCTGTGAATTTGGGTTTGTGTCCTGGATGAAATCTGGGGCCACCCAAGAGGCCCTTAGCTCATTCATTGCCCACCTGAGGACCCCTGCCCATCCTGGGTGCCTCAGGTTCCACTAGAAGGGTGGAGTCAGGCCTAGCAGTGGCCAGAGCTGGCTATTGTGGAGTTACCATGCTGCTGGTTGGGGAGCCAGCTGCCCAGCCAGTCTCAGGGTAGACCCACAGTTATGGGGAGGGTGGTGCTCACTGGGCCAGAGACCAATGTGGAGGTCAACTGGGGTTTTTGTAGCCAGGTACCAAGGACAGATTCCCCGGCCTCAACTGTGCTGACCCCAGAGCCCAGATCTGGTGAGCAGGAGAGGGGAAGGGGTGGGGGGGATATAAACTGGAACCAATCTCTCCTGGCATGTTCTGCCCAGAGGGTGCCACTTGTCTATTATGGCTTGGCTTGGTATGACAGGGCAGGGTCGGGGTTTGCTCAATGTCTTTTCCTTCGGCTGCTGGGGTTCAGGGGGGTGGCAGGATGGGCAGGGACAGGAAGATACTTAGAGGTAACCTCCGAGAGTGCCAGCGTTCTAGATGTTAGCCTGGGCCTGGGAGGCTGGGGGGGGGGAGTCTTGTATCCCTCTGACCAGTGGAGTTTGGGGTTGAGCCAGGTTGGGTGGGGAGCTGGGGCGAGGGCCCACAGGCTGCCTCGAGAGCTGGCCCTCGGCCCTCATAGGCCCCACCAGCCCCTGGAGCTCCGGCCCCGCCAGCCGCCCGCCCTGGGCAGTGGACCCAGCGTTTGCGGAGCGCTACGCCCCAGACAAGACCAGCACCGTGCTGACTCGGCACAGCCAGCCGGCCACCCCCACCCCCGTGCAGAACCGGAACTCCATCGTGCAGGCCGCCCAACTGGGCCCCGACAGCAGCAAGACTCCTGTGTGCCACCAGTGCCACAAGGTCATCCGGTAGGTGGCGTTCCCCGTACCCCTGTCCTCTCCCCGAGTCCTGCAGGCTTGGAAAGAACATTGGCTAAGAAATCAAGAGCTCTGCTTCTGACTTGCTGAGCAGCCTTGGACGAGTTCCTGTCTCTCTCTGTGCTCCTCCTCTGTAAAAGGAGGCAGTTGGGCTAGATGATCTCTAAAACCCTTTCCAGCTTCAACAATAGCTCACATTTCTGTAGCTCTCCCCCTATTTGTGTGTGATTCTCATGGTTTGGAGAGCTCCCAGCAAAGAAGGCCTTTTCTCTTTTTCTTTTTCTTTTTTTTGGCTAGGCAATGGAGGTTAAGTGACTTACCCAGGGTCACACAGCTAGTAAGTGTCAAGTGTCTGAGGCTGGATTTGAACTCAGGTCCTTCTGACTCCAGGGCCGGTGCTCTATCCACTGCGCCACTTAGCTGCCCCTGAAGGCCTTTTCTCAATGCAGATTGGTGCCTTCTGTGCAACTTACAGGCTTAGAGAGTTACCCAGGGCACCAAGAGGCTAAAGGATGGGCCCAGGGTCCAAGAGCCAGGATGTGTCAGAGCCCAGACCTTCCTGATTCCCAGGCCATCTCTTGTTGCCTCTCTGTAGCACTTTTCCATTTGCAAATTCAACTGAACAAACTTTTTTTTTAAGCTTTTTTTTTTTATTTTTGGCTAGGCAATGGGGTTAAGTGACTTGCCCAGGGTCACGTAGCTAGTAAGTGTTAAGTGTCTGAGGCTGGATTTGAACTCAGGTCCTCCTGACTCCAGGGCTGGTACTGTGTCCACTGCACCACCTAGCTGCCCCTGAACAAACTTTTGTTAAGGAAAACAAGTCAGCAAGCATTTATTAAGTGTCTGCTGTGTACTCAGCACTGTGCTAAGTGCTGGAGCTACAAAAGAAGGACAAAAACCAGCCCCAGTTCTTAAGGAGCTCATAGTCTGATGGGGGGGACAACATGTAATTATGTACAACACATCTGCACAGGAGAATTGGAAATCATCTCAGAGGGAAGGCACTAAAATTAAGGAGAATTAGGAAAAGCTTCTTGTAGAAGGTGGGACTGTAGCTGAGACTCGAAGGGAGCCCCAAGGTGCAGATGAGGAAGGAGAGAGCTCCAGGGATGGAGGGTGGTCAGAGTCCAGAGATGTAGTATTGTGTGCGAGCTGCAGCCAGGATGGATCACAGGGTCTGTGTGGCAGTCGGGTGCCAGAAGGCTGGAGAGGAGAAAGGGACCAGGTTGTGAAGGGCTTTCAAAGTCCAACAAAGGATTGGAATTCAGTTTAGGGAGGGATGATGTGGTCAGACTAGCACTTGAGAAAGCTCACTTTGACAGCTGGATGGAGGGTGGCCTGCACTGGGGAGAGACGAGGCAGGGAGGCCACCCAAGACCATTGCAGTGATTCAGGTGTGAGGCGATGAAGACCCAGACTGGGGTGGTGACTGTGTCAGAGCAGAGAAGGGAGCATGTGTTAGACATAGTACAAAGCAAGGAATAACAGGACTTGGTAACTGCTGGGCAATGGGGATGGGCGAGAGGCACTGGTGAGCAGAGGAAGAAACCTAGGGTGTGAGCCTGGGTGACTAGAGGATGGTGGTGCCCCAGACAGTGATGAGCAAGTTAGGAACACAGGAGGGTTTGGGGAGGAAAAGAACGAATTCCATTTTGGACATGTGTTTAAGACATCTATGAGACATCTAGTTTGAGATGTCCAATCAGCGGTTAGACACACTTGACCGGAGGTCAGGAGACAGGTTAGGGCTAGACAAATTGATAATGAAGATAGTATTTATATAGCACTTTAAGGTTTGCAAAGTGCTTTATGTGTGCTAAATCAGTTGATGCTCACAAACAACACTGTGAGATAGGTGTTATTATTACCCCCATTTTATAGATGAGGGAACCAAGGGTGAGAGGTTAAGTGACTTGCCCAGAGTCACACAAAGAGTCTGGGACAAGATTCAAACTTAGGTCTTTCTGACTACAAGTCCAGCTGTCTCTACACTCTACCACTTGGCTGCTTCTGTAGATTTAAGAATCGTCTGCTTACAGATGATAATTGAATCCATCGGAGCTGATGAAATCACCAAGAAAAAACAGTATATAGAAAGAAAGGTGCCCAGCACAAAGCCTTGGGGACAACCATGACCTAGGTGCAGACAGAGCCCAGGAGACTGAGAAGGAGCCGTCACGTAGGTAGGAGGAGAACCAGAAGAGAGCTGTAACATGGAAACCTAGAGAGAAGAGAGTGATCAGCAGTGTCAGAGGCTGCAGAGAGGTGAAGGAGAATGAGAAAAGGCCATTGGATTGGGAAATTAGAAGACTATTGGTCACTTTGGACAGGGCCATTTCAGTTGGATGAGGTCAGGAGCCAGACTGTAAAGAGTGAAGGAGAGAGTGAGAGGAAAGGGAGAGTGGGGGCACCCAGCACAGAAATAGATGGTGGCCTCTGACCTCAAGGAGCTTACCCTCTTATTAGGAGGTCTGTAGCAGGTACTCAAAATAAATGCAATCTGAGATAGAACATTATGGGGTCAAAGAGATCCAGGAAAGGTGCTCTAGGAAAATTTGGGAGTGAAATCCCTTTTAGCTGAGTGGGGAAATCAGGGAGGGCTTTCTGGAGGAGGTTGTACCTGAGCTAGGTCTTGAAGGGGAAGAAAAAGTTTCTGCAGGCAGAAATGATGGAGTGCATCCCAAGCTTGGGGGCCTGGCCCTTGTGGATGCTCAGAGGTAGGAGGGGGAAGGATGAGAATGAGAACTACTCAGAGTAACTCGTTTCATAGGTTCGTGATATTAGAGCCGGATGGGATGTTGGGCATGGCCTGGTCCAGCTGTGTCCTTGTACAAAGGGGAAGGTGGAAGCTCAGAACAGGGAGGGCCTTGCCCAGGAGATAGGGAATGGAGCGGATTCTCAGAGCCCATGTTTACTGTCTTCCCAACGTGGGGCTCCTTCTGTGCTCCCCCATGAACCATTCATTCCACAAGCCTTTAGTAAGTGCCTGCTTTGTGCCAGGCTGTGCCATGTGCAAGGGGCACACATGCACACTTGCCCCTGCCCTCAGGGGAGCTCCCATTCTGCAGGGGACCTCTTGGCCCCCTCCATTCCTGCCTCTGCAGCTCTTCCTTCTCCCCACCCTCTCAGGGGCCGCTACCTGGTGGCACTGGGCCACTCCTACCACCCGGAGGAGTTTGTGTGTGGCCAGTGTGGGAAGGTGCTGGAGGAGGGTGGCTTCTTTGAGGAGAAGGGCTCCATCTTCTGCCCCAGGTGCTATGACATGCGCTATGCACCCAGCTGTGCCAAGTGCAAGAAGAAGATTGCTGGAGTGAGCCCGGGGACGGGCCTGGGGTGGCGAAAGGGGCCGGGGAGGCTGGAGGGGTGGGGGCAGGGCGAAGAGGGGCAGGGGAGGCCGGAGGGGTGGGGGCAGGGTGAGGAGGGGCAGGGGCAAAGTCAGGAGTCCTGTGCCCCTTCCTGCCCACCTCCAGGAGATCATGCACGCTCTCAAGATGACCTGGCACGTGCAGTGTTTCACCTGCACTGCTTGTAAGACACCTATTCGCAACAGGGCTTTTTACATGGAGGAGGGAGCACCTTACTGTGAGCGAGGTAAAGGTGGGGCTCGGGGGAGGGTGGAATCTGGGGACAGAGAGCATTGGAAGGCTCAGGACCCTGCCCCCCTTCCCCAGCCCTCTTTGGCTTTGCCTAGTTGCTATGACAGCAACAAGAGGGCTACACCATCCCCGATTCAGGGAGCATGTGGGAGGACCCCACCCAACCTAACCTCTGCTGAGTCACCAAAAACGCCCTGCCCAGGGCAGTGTCTCCCCATCCTCCCTTGAGGGGCAGGGATGGAGGGATAAAGATGTCCCTGTGAGAGATTTGTGTGTTGAGGTCTGGGAAATGGGGGTCGGGGCAGGCAGGGGCTGGAGGGCATCTCTTCCGGGGCTAGCTGATGGACCCGTAGACCTGAGCCTCCATCTCTTCCTGCCCACTCAGACTACGAGAAGATGTTTGGCACCAAATGTCGGGGATGTGACTTCAAGATTGATGCTGGGGACCGTTTCTTGGAGGCGCTGGGCTTTAGCTGGCATGACTCATGCTTCGTCTGTGCTGTGAGGGCCCCTTTCCCCTCCTCTTCCTACAGAGGCCCTGGCCATTTTCTCTTCCAGCACCCACCCAGCCCTATACCAGCCCCGACCCTGGGCCCAGGTCCTAGTCACCAGGCCCCAGTCTTGCCTCAGCCCTGGGCTGCCTCAAGGCAGCGCTGTGTGATGGAATTGTATTTAGAGAACCTGGGTTTGAATCCCAGCTGTGTTACTTACTGCATGTGTGACCTCACCTATCTGGGCCTCAGTTTCCTCATCTGTAAAATGAGGGAACCGGACTTGACCTCTGGAGTCCTATGATCCTGTGATCCTTCCCATCCCACACTGAGGCCCCTCCCTCGATGCAGGATAGCATCAGCCCTGGCCCTGCTTCCCATTGCATACTAGCGTGGTCTCTTCTGACCCCGTCCCAAACCCTACCATTTGGGCCATCCCACCTGGCTCAAGCCCAGCTCCAAGGCTTTCCTAGTGTTGATCCTTAAGAGCAGTCCTGTCCATACCTTTGGGCCCAGACCAGGTCACTCCCCAGTTTGGGGCTGGTCTCTACAGAGAGGCAGGCAGCCCTGGGTTCCCTCTGCCTTTTCAGTGTCTCTGCAGAGCTGCTCCCTTCTTGGGCCCTCTTCTTTCTTCTAGATACTCTGTGACTGGGCCTCCCTTTTTTCTAGATCTGCCAGATCAACCTGGAAGGAAAGACCTTTTACTCCAAGAAGGACAAGCCTTTGTGCAAGAGCCACGCTTTCTCTCACGTCTGAGCGTCTCTCTACTGTGTCCTGCCCCGCCTAGACACAGCTTGCGGCCCTGACCATGCCGCCCCTTCCTGTGCCTTCCACCCCTCCTGAGTTGGGGGGGGGGGGGGCCCAGAGCCTGTGCAGTCCTCTCGCTTTCCCTTCCTGGGGCTATCTCTCTGCACGAGACCCTAGGACTTCCCACGAGGCCCAGGGTGGGAAGACGGACAGAGACTCTCCCAGGCAGCTGGGGTGATGGCTAGCAGCCTGGTTGATTTGGGGGGCATGGAGGAGCCTGAGACCTACTGAGGTCCAGGGGATATAGACATACTTGTTCCAGAGTTTGTCCAGCAAGCCCCAACCCCGTCAAGCTGGAGAGAACTAGAGATCCTCTGAGCAGAAACAGACCAAACTCTCCCCTCCCCACCAACCCTGCCCCATCATCTTGGCCTCTGAGATCCCAGGTCCCACCAAAGTAGTAGCTTCTTCCCCCTTGCCACACCCCAGCCCTGGATGCGGATCTCCATTTGCTTTTAGTGCCTTAATAAATCTTTCTATATCCTACCTTGGCTTTCGGTGTTCTCCCCTATCCCCCCACCCCAAGCCCCTAGTGTAGGATTCCCCCCACCCCCTACCCCTGCATCTGCCAGGGGACACATGGTCTGCTTAGTATCTCAAGGCCATGAGAGGGGAGGTGGGAACAGGCTGGACAAGGACCCCTGGGATGTTTATGCAGGAACTATCCCGCCTACTTGAAATTCTACCATTAGTCAGGAAGCCATGATGGTGGTGTCCAAGGGAGAGACCATCTTAAATGAAAGAAGAGCAGCCTTGGGGGCAGAGGAGACACCGAGGGGGCCTGGGGCTTCGGGTAGGCTTTGCAGTCTGTCCTAGGCTTCAGGAAACCTGGGTTTGAATCCTGCCTCTAACATAAGCTTTGTGGCCAGGGACCAGTCCCTTCTCCCTTCTGAACCCGAGTTTCCTCCTCCTCCTCCTCCTCCTCCACATAATCGAGATGATGGTGCTTCCATTGCCTACCTTTCTGGACTGATAAAGAACTCTGTAAAGTGGACAATGCTATTGCTTCCTCTGCAATTAGGCAAATTACTTATCCTCGAGGTCTCAGTTTCCCCATCAGTAAAATGGGAATAGTAGTAACCTGGTCTACCTGGGCTTTGGGAAGAACAATGTATGTATTGAAGGAGAGACCCTTTATGTGGCCTTGGGCTCTTTTCTAAGGTGGATGTTTAAATAAGAAAAAAACAAACTTCCAGCTTCTGTCCTGTGTAAGCCTTGGTCCAGCACTAGCTGGAGCTGTGGGAGCCTTAGCTCCTAGGACGTGCTCACCACTCTCCTTGCCTATGCCCAGCACTAGTAGCAACAGCACATCTATAGTCCTTATAAAGTTTGCAAAGCACTTTCTTCAGCTCGCCCCTGGAAGTCAGGTAGTGCAAGATTTATTTATTCCCATTTTAGAGATGGGGAAACTGAGGCCCAGAGAGGTTAAGTAATTTGCCCATGATCATTTGCACGAGATTCCCAATTGGTGGAGAGGATGTTGACACAATGCTGCATGCTTGCTCAGGTGGAGCTGGCTTGAGATCCTGGGAGAGGAGAGACTTTTTCTCTTCCGTGGATCTCAGACCAGCGGTATCCTCTATTGAAAACAGTATGAAGCATGTTGGCTCAGCACTCCACCCACTAGGAGTTTCCTGTAAGATGCTGCAGGTTTAGTTAGAAGCTCGAGTTGTGTCGTTAGTCATGTTGGAGCCAGTATTTGAACCTAGTGTTTCCTTTGCATCACTTGCCTCTGGGGTGGAGAATACCTTTGGCTCTAAGTTCATTTGCACAGCAGAGCTGACCCATATTCCGAGCCAGTGGCTGACCCAGGTTTTTATGACTCAACTTCCGGGCTTCACCCACTCACCAAATGTTTTAGGATGATTCCCCTCCTTTTCCCTCCCCTCCTAAGGAGACCCGCTGCAGCCCCAGGCTTCTGCATACTCAGGAATCCTTTAAGGGTTTCTGTTCCCTCCAAGGGAAGGGGAGGCCTGTTTCCTCACAACTTGGAGTGTGCCTAAATGGGGGATGGGGAGAAGAAAGAAGAAAATACATGAGAGATTATGGGACAAATGGAGAACATCAGAGCGGCAAGGAATAGATTTTAGAACATTTATTAAGTGCTTACTATGTGCCAAGCACTGTATCAAGTCCTGGGAATAGATATACAATGGAAGAGACTTCAGTGGTCTTTCTTGTCCAGTGCCTTCATTTTACAGATCATAAGATGATGGATTTAGAGCTGGACAGAACCTGAATCCAAGCCCCTCATTTTAAAGAGGAGGAAACAGGTTCAGAGAAATTAATGAGGAAACTGAGGTCACAAGAGGGGGAGGATTTTCCCAAGTTAAGATTTGAACCCAAATCTTTGGCCTCCAAATGAAGCACTCACTGCTTCCCCCCAGCTCCCCAGCAAGATTTTCATCGGGCAGATGGAAAGCAGAAGTCATCTGCTTGGAGGTGATAGTTGAATCCCCCAAATGGGAGTGTCCCCTTAACCCTCAGCCTCCAGTCATATTCTGTTTCCTCTACACCCTTCTCCTCCATAAGGCGACAGGTGATAAGGCCTGAATTAGGGAGATGGCTTTGTGGAGACAGAAGGGGTCACATGTAAGAAATGAAGTGGCAAGGTTTGGCACCTGGTTAGATGGGTGGAATGACTAAGAGGGAGGAGTCAATGGCCGTGGGGGAATGGTGTTCTCAACCATAACAGCAGAGTGACTAGAGATAAGGGGGAACCAAGAAAAGCAATGGTGCCGACATCCAAGGAAGGATAAAGAAAGAGGGGGCAGTTTATGGAATTACGTCATCTAGAGGTGAAGGAAGATGCCTGGGGAAAAGTGCTGGATTTTGTAATTAGGAGGTCACCAGTGAAACTGAACATTTGGGGATAAAAGGAGAAAATGCTCTCCCTTGACGCTTCCATACTGACTTTGACCAGCCAGTTCAGTCTTTAGCTACATTGAGAGAGGTATAGTGTCTAGAATGAGAGACGTGATGGATACATCTCCCCTGCTCCAACCACATCAAACACACATTGTGTTTGTTTTTGGGTAGTATATTTATGGAAAGACGTTGATAAGCTAGAACAAGTCAAGAGAAGGGAGGGTGAATAGTGAAGGCGTAGGAGACTGTACCATCTTAGGACTCGGGGGGGGAAAAAACTGAGGAGAATGGAAAAAGGAAAGAAAGAAAAAAAAAAGACTTGGAATGGGGGGTGAGCTGGGCAGTAGAACCAATGTTCAAGTATCTGAAAGAGTGTCATGTGGGAGAAGGACTAGATTCATAGTTTGTTTTTTTTTTTTTTTTTTGCTAGGCAGTGAGGTTAAGTGAGCTGCCCAGGGTCACACAGCTAGCAAGTGTTATGTGTCTGAGGCCGGATTTGAACTCAGGTCCTCCTGAATCCAGGGCCGGTGCTCTATCCACTGAGCCACCTAGCTCCCCGACTAGATTCATTCTGAATGGCCTCAAAGCATAGAACTGGGAACAACAGTTAATGAAAAGTTGATTTCAGTCAGTCAGTCAACAAATATTTATTGGGCACTGTGCTAAGTGCTGAGGATACAAAGAAAAGCAAAACATGAGCCCTGTCCTCAAGGAGCTCATACTCTAATGGAGGACAGGCAAAATAACTATGTCCATAGAAAGTGTCTACAAAGTAGGGGGCAGGGTGAGATGGGACCAGGAAGGGTCTCCCATAGAGGGTAGAGGTTGAGCCAAGTCATGGAGGATTCCAGGGACTCTAGGAGGCAGAAATGAGGAGGGATGAGAGGCTCTAGAGGGAGAAGAGAAGATAGGCCAAGGTATAGTTTTGGGGGACATCCACATTTAGTGGGCATGAGCTGGAGAAAGAGCCAGCAAAGGAGATTGAGAAAGAAAAATCAGACAGATAGGAGAACCAAGAGACGGCAGGATCATGAAAAGCTAGAGGACAGAGGGTCCAGGAGGAGATGGTGATCGACAGCGTCCAGAGCTGCAGACTGATCAGAGTGGGGCTAATTCAAGGGGAAATAAGCTCCCTGTCACTGACGGTCTTCAAGTGAGGCTAGGAGGGCACCTTTTAGAGACCTCAGTCCTTTCCTGCTCAATAAGAGATGGGAATAGATTCCCTCTGAGGTTCCTTCCAACTCTGAGATTCTGTGATTGTTAGACAAAGCAGGATGAGCATCATTGTAGGACGTGTGAGGTTGGCTGTGTGGAGAGATGGCCCCCAGAAGGATGTCCTGGAAAGGGGAGGTTGGGGAGAGGAAGGGAGCTTGGAGAGTCAGCTCAGGAAAACACGGTGTTTTGGTAAGGTCTCCTCAAAGAGGTGACTGAAGGTAGAGAAAGGTGTGATCTGTGTAGTTTCATTAGACTGAGTCTAAGATAAAATCATAGCAGAGAAGGTGTACGTATATGCGAGTGTACATGTGTATATATCTGTGTATGTGTGTCTTAATATGTATTTGCATATGTGTGTTTGTGGATGTGTGTATGTATATGGGTGTGCCTGTGTGTATATATTTGTGTAAGTGTTCCTGTGCATGTCTCTGTGTGTATGTAGGTTGTGTAGGTGTGCCTGTGTGTCTGTGTGTATATATAGAGATTTGCAGGTGTATATGTGTAAATGTGTGTATGTATATGTGTATTGTGTATGTATATGGGTGTGTTTGTCTGTAACTGTGTGTATATATTTGTGTAGGTGTGCCCGTGTGTATGTATATTTATGTGTATATGTGTGTATACATGTCTACATGTGTGTATATTTAGATATTTGCATGTGTACATGTATAAATATATATGTATTGTGTGTGTGTGTGGGTGTGTTTGTGTGTGACTGTGTATATATTTGTGTATATGTTTGTATGTGTATGCATGTGTATGTGTGTGTGAGAGAGACGGAGAGAGAAAGAGAGAGAAAGAGAGAGATTGAGAGAGAGACAGAGAGAAAGAGAGAGAGACAGAGAGAGAGACAGAAGGAGAGAGAAAAAGAGAGAGAGAGAAGTAGGAACTAAAGAGTAAGGATGGGTCAAGTGTAGACCCAGCACCATCCAGGACAAAGGCTGCTATGATTCTAGGCCCCAGTATAAATGAGGCACATGCCCTCTGGGCAAATTTTGAAAATTGCACCCCTGCCTTGTATATTATTTGGAATCCAAAGCTAGGCTGGATGCCTTTACTATCTCCAAGGGAGAAGATCCTAATGAAAGACGTGGCTTTGAGCCTTGAAAGGCGTTCTAGTGGAAGGGCAAGAGCAAAGGCTCTAGAGTCAGAGGATCTGGGTTCAAACGCTGCTTCTGCTAGTTAAGAACCATGTGACCTTGCTTGAGTCACTTACTCTCTCTGGGCCTCAGTTTCCTCATCTGTAAAATGAAAAAGGAATTTCCTAGCTCTGACATTCTATTATCCTGGGATCTTAATTCATTGCAATATCAGGAACTTGAATTATCTCACTCAAGGGTGGAGACAAGCAGACTTTTCTGGTTTTAAAAGTAAATACATTTGTTTAAACATTGTGCTTTTGT